GCTCACAGACTCAAAATACACAAACAGGCTGTAATTCCGCAGTCGAGCTCGGGTCTCAAGATGAGGATTCTCCCAGAGCACGAAGTTTGCTTTGAACAAAAACGTTCTCCACCTTCGCCTTCCAAAAATATAATTAGCCAGACCTTTCAAACAGACACCCCAGACTCACTGGGGAAATAAAATACTGAACTAGTCTTAGAATTATTTGTGTAAAAATAATTCGTGTAAAAATATTTAACCTAATACTGCACGATTCTCTCTCTAGTGGAACTTTGTTATATTAAAATAAAGTTATGTATCCTGTTTGTCCTACGGGGTGGGGATAGGGGGAATAAAGTTACAGGCTTGTATGCAGTAAGCCCCCAAAGTAATGTGTGAATGTTTATGTTTAAAGATTCAGGTAAGGAGGTGACTACAGGTATCACCCAGGTATGTGTTCACACCTCAGGTAACCAGGGATGGGAAGGAAGGCAAAGATGTGGCCCATTTTTCTTTTCAAAGAAAGATGTTTTTGAAGATGGCTTTTTGTTTTAAAGGTATAAATTTGTAAGAGGAAGAGGAGCCTTATGGGGTAAAGATGTGAAAGGAACTACACAGTAAAAAGCAAAGACGGTGCTCCCTCCCCAGCACTGACCAGGCATTTCCCTGCAGTATATTAGTGAGATGATAGGACTTCTCTTTTCTCCCCATTTTCAGTCTCAAAATCCGCCCATTTCCAGCCTTCCCTTACACCCGGCTGAAGCTTTCTTTCTAGCAGTCCAGACACTGGAAACCTGCTTTGTGGGAGCTCCTGGTCCCAGAGAGGAGGGAGGAGATGAGGGAAGAACCCAGTCTGGCCGTGGATCCTTCAGAAGAATGCGGGGCCTTAAGCCTTTCTCCAGAAGGGACTTGTGAATGACAATGGCGCTCTTTTGGCGAGTGGGCTGGGCAAACAGAAAGCGAGAGTTTCCCTTCTTTTTAGAAGAGAAGGCTTTCAGGGCTTAGGGAGGGAGTGCTCAGCTGATTTCAGCCCCTTAGGACAGAACCTAATTTGTGCCCTTAATGCCCTTAAGAAACTAGGAGAGGGTGAAAGATTATTTCACTGCCCTTTGAAACTTATGCCACACAAACCTTTCAATTTTCATGGCTCTGAAACTGTGTTTTGGGATATTACTTTACAATAGCAGCAACTCCTGAGCAACAAGCCCCTCATGTTTCTGTTCATTTGACTTCCCTTGGTTTTACTAACTTTTGATGAAGTGTTAAGATTTCATATTTTTACTATTGTATTTAGCAGTGGTTTATTGTTGATGCTCTGACAGAGTCTGGTTGGGCTTCTGGCTTAGTAGAGGTTATTCGATTATTTCCACAACTCTAAGACTGTTTCACCAGGCATTAGTTGAAAATTCAGCTATGGTAGTAAAGGAAAAACTTAAAGGATTCCCCAAACCCACCCCCAGCAGGTAACCTTCTTAGAATGTCCTCCAAATAAATGGTTTCTTTCCTTTCTGATAAACTAGCTAGTGGTTGTTTTGACTCTTAACAGCTGGTCAATTGGAAGACAATATATTGACACTTCACTAATATCCTAGGGTGTGCCTTACTTTGGGGAAACTACAGGGAAAGGTTTTTTCATCCTACCTGTCTTCAGTGGGAGGCATACCTCCACATGGTTCCCTAAGGAAATTTACTTCTTCAGGGAAACTGGCATCTTGCTCAAGGACCAGTCAAGGTTGGGAACCCCCCTGCTTCTCCACCTCACCTCTTCCTTGTGCTAAGGCGACCTGCATGGATCTTATTAAACGGGTTAGCGAACTATTCTGAATGAAGTTGAAAGATGAATGCACACGTTGGGTCCTCACCTAATTGTACACTTCATGAAATAGAGTAGGCTGCAGTGACTCTCTGTTTCTTTTCCTAAAAAGCAAATGTATATGCAAAAGTAGGGACACTCTTTATTCTTCCTTCCAAGTTTTCAGATTGGGCACCCTACGTGGAAACTTCTCTTCTTCTTCTCATTTCACAGCGTTTCAAACGAGTCGCTGAAGCTAACCTATTCTCAGCTGACTGTGGATTCTATACCTTCGGAGACACTCTGAGAGGCTACTGGTTTGCACCGTGTAACAGAGAGATCATTCATGAAGGAGCGTGACTCAGAAATGAGGGGAGGGGACAAAAACAGGCAGGAATACAGTTAATTTGGAGGCATCCTTCTAGAATCGGGGCCTCCAGGATCCAGGTCCCTGGGATGCACGCAGACTGTTCGGCTTTCCACTCCTAAATCAGATCTGCGGCTCCAGCACGATTGCTGCGTTTTGCTCCCGGGTTGGGGAGGTTGCTGTCAACAGCGGGTTGGTTAGGTGGTAGCTTTCGTGCCTGCTGAGAAAGGATCTCTATGTTCCTCGCTCTCGCTTTCGCTCTCCCCCTCCCTCCCTGTAACATGCCAGCCCTTTAATGTGGAGTGTCAGGGAGACGGTGACGTCACCCTGCCCGCTGGGTGGCGTCCCCTCGGTCCGACACGAGTTCAGAGACAGAGAAAGGCGCTGTCAGACTGCGCTCCACTTGGGGCTCGCCTGCCGCAGGGTTCCGCACGCCCACACTTTCCGCGGTTCAGGGGACGCCCCGCCGCAATTCAGGCGGTCATTCTCCCCCGGCCGGGGTTCGAGCGTCTTTAGCTCGAACGAGAGCCCGGATCTTCACGCAGAACCCGCCGGAGTCCCGCCCGCTGGATTCGAGGACCCGCTTGGATGCTTCGCCTCCGAGCGCCCTCGGAAGATGGGCCGGCAGCCGCACGCCTGAAGACACCTAGGAGTTACCAGGTACTGCCGGAACCGGCCTGCCCTAACTCGGCACACAGCTCGTGGTTCACTATTTCAGTTCCCCGGCGACGGGATTTCCGCGTTACGTTGAGGGGCTGCGGCGGGCTTCGTTGTGACAGGTTTGGGAGCCAGGAGAACTAAGTCGGGGATCCTTGGATCGTGAGCAGGATAGGGAAGTTCCCAGCTTCCTTTTTCAGTTCAGCTAACTTTTAATTGTCTCTTCTCCTCTCGTTCCCTTAAAAAAATCTCCCAACCTAAACCTTCTTATTTGTGTCTCTGCTCTGACAGGAGTTTCTGTGAGGGTTTGGGGTGAAAGTGGAGGACACCCAGGAGGAGACACTTCTGCCTGGTCTGCCGCTGCTAGGGCTGCGGGTCCCTAAAGCAGAACCAGCCCTCCTCCTGGGCAGGCCCGCTGCCCGCATTGCTGGGGAGCGGGAGAGTTCGAGTTCTCCCAGGGTCTTATTAAGCTAATACGAATCTTGTTTGGAAGGGAAATGAGCATTGAAGGGCCATTTGGCGGAGCTAGGTTTGATTGTATCAGGCTCAGGTATCACTGTGCCTTGAACTGCCATTTAACGCCCTGTCCCCTGGAAATATTGTCTCTGATCCATCCGAAGTGACAAGCCAGGCTTTCCTCTCGTTTGATTGCGTCGAGGTTTGTTCAGCCTTCCTGGAGGCCACCAAGTGTAATAAGAGCTGAGGATTCAGGGGCAGAAGGGCAGAGGCTGCAGTATAGATGCCATGGGGGCCCAGAGAGAGGGCACAGATGTGACAATTTGGGTGAGGGAGTAGGATAGTGTATCCTCTGAAATCTCTGTAATAACAAACTGTACTTGGTGGAGTATGGCTATACCATGGCCACTGGTGATTTTCCAGGGCAAAGAATAGTCTTGGCCAATGCGCTATGACATGTAGCTGTGGAAAGGTCACTGTTTTCCTAGGCAATGAGCGATTTTGAGTAGCTCGATTTAACATTGTCACAAATGTTTCTTTTGCTTCCTTTTTCTATATTTTCGATTTACTGGATATTTTCACTTATGGTAGCATCAGTTGACCAGAGACGAAGTTAGAAATTTTACCACAGGCCCAACCTGGGATTTTGACTTTCAACACTCCCACAGATTACCTAGCCCACAGATGATCTGCATTGGGGGAGGGGGCAGCTTTTCTCCCATAAATATATAATCTACATAGATCAAGGAAAAAAAGGTCACAGAAGGTAGTTCACATTAAACTAAATTTGCCTTTTGAAGTCTGCCAATAAAGATCCCCAAGAATTGTTCGTTCCCTTGCACTGTTTCTGGGTTTAACACACTTGCCTGTACTTACTTTTTTTTATTGCCATGAAAATGACAGGAAAACATTTTTTTGAATGTTTATAATCTTCAACTTTATCTTTTTAAGCCCCCTATCGGGGACCAGAACCACTCAGTTCAGCAAGTGGGGTTTTGAAATAGATAACTGAAAGAGAAACATTCTATTTTGGTGCAATTGTGTATATGGCTTTGTACATTTTTCACTTTTAAAAAAAATTCTAATTACAGTAAAAAAAATATCTAATGGTAAGGATAGGTAGGAAGGGATTTCGTTTTGCTTTAATGAACTGTGTTTCAACCAGTAGTGAATTTCCCCAAGGAAACCACAGATACCACAAAAATCACTTTTTAAAAGGTTTGGGCTTATGTTTTTTTAATCAAAATCAATCTATTTTCAAGCAAATGCAAATGGTCTCTCTCTCTTTAAATTTGGGTTTCAATACCCAAGCTCCAGTTTTCCAAAACTTTTACAATCTGCGCTAGTTACAACTGTCATTATTTTCTAATTTCTAATGGGCACACCATTTTGTTCCAACAGCTTCTATAAATCCAGGATAACGTATCAAATTCCTTGGGAATTGACTGCTTTAAATATATATATTTCATTTACTTGGAATGTTTAGAAGTACCTTCAGATCTTTGTATTTCTAACGGACAACCTTGAAGGAAATTAAGAGAGATGACTCTCATGTCTGATAGTTGGTCACTTTTTCCAGTTATAATCATGTCTTAACCAAAGCAAAGAAGTTATTACAATTCTTCAGTTTGCGATTTTCCCCACCCCTCTGTTTTATGATGAATAGGCTCAAATCAACGCTTTCTCCTTTCCCTTCCAGTCTCCAAGGCAGACCCAGAGGGCTCGGCCCGGGGTTCCGCGGCGGAGGAGATGGCTTCCAGCCCGCTGCCGGGGCCCAACGACATCCTGCTGGCGTCGCCGTCGAGCGCCTTCCAGCCCGACGCGCTGAGCCAGCCGCGGCCAGGCCACGCCAACCTCAAACCCAACCAGGTGGGCCAGGTGATCCTCTACGGCATTCCCATCGTGTCATTGGTGATCGACGGGCAGGAGCGCCTGTGCCTGGCGCAGATCTCCAACACACTTCTCAAGAACTTCAGCTACAACGAGATCCACAACCGCCGCGTGGCGCTGGGCATCACGTGCGTGCAGTGCACGCCAGTGCAGCTGGAGATCCTGCGGCGCGCGGGAGCCATGCCCATCTCATCGCGCCGCTGCGGCATGATCACCAAGCGCGAGGCCGAGCGTCTGTGCAAGTCGTTCCTGGGCGAAAACAGGCCGCCCAAACTGCCCGACAACTTCGCTTTCGACGTGTCGCACGAGTGTGCCTGGGGCTGCCGTGGCAGCTTCATCCCCGCGCGCTACAACAGCTCGCGCGCCAAGTGTATCAAATGTAGCTACTGCAACATGTACTTCTCGCCCAACAAGTTCATTTTCCACTCCCACCGCACGCCCGACGCCAAGTACACTCAGCCAGACGCTGCCAACTTCAACTCGTGGCGCCGTCATCTCAAGCTCACTGACAAGAGCCCCCAGGACGAGCTAGTCTTCGCCTGGGAGGACGTCAAGGCCATGTTCAACGGCGGTAGCAGAAAGCGTGCTCTACCCCAGCCGGGCGCACACCCCGCCTGCCACCCGCTCAGCTCCGTCAAGGCGGCGGCAGTGGCAGCCGCGGCCGCCGTGGCAGGGGGCGGGGGACTGTTGGGCCCGCACCTGCTGGGCGCGCCCCCGCCGCCGCCGCCACCGCCACCCCTGGCGGAGCTGGCGGGCTCACCACACGCTCACCACAAGCGGCCGCGATTCGACGACGACGACGACTCCCTGCAAGAGGCGGCCGTCGTGGCCGCCGCCAGCCTCTCGGCTGCAGCCGCCAGCCTCTCAGTGGCGGCGGCCTCGGGCGGCGCCGGGGCTGGAGGGGGCGGAGCCGGGGGTGGCTGTGTGACCGGCGTCGGCGCCGGCGCGGGGGCAGGCGCGGCGGCTGGCGCCAAAGGACCGCGCAGCTACCCGGTCATCCCGGTGCCCAGCAAGGGCTCGTTCGGGGGCGTGCTGCAGAAGTTCCCAGGCTGCGGAGGCCTCTTTCCTCACCCTTACACCTTCCCGGCCGCAGCCGCCGCCTTTGGCTTGTGCCACAAGAAGGAGGACGCGGGCGCCACAGCCGACGCCCTGGGGGGCGCGGGTGCTGGCGGCGCGGGAGCGGCGCCCAAGGCCGGCTTGTCCGGCCTCTTCTGGCCAGCGGGCCGAAAGGACGCCTTCTACCCGCCCTTCTGCATGTTCTGGCCGCCGCGGACCCCCGGCGGGCTTCCAGTGCCCACTTACCTCCAGCCCCCGCCACAGCCGCCCTCGGCGCTGGGATGCGCGCTTGGTGACAGCCCGGCCCTGCTGCGCCAGGCCTTCCTGGACCTGGCCGAGCCCGGCGGCGCCGGGGGGAGCGCTGAGGCTGCGCCCCCGCCGGGCCAGCCCCCTCAAGTAGTGGCCAACGGCCCGGGCTCCGGCCCACCGCCTCCTACGGCGGGCGCCGGCGCTCACGACGCGCTCTTCGAGTCGCCCCGGGGCGGCAGCGGCGGGGACTGCAGCGCGGGCTCCACG